AAAAGATATTTCAGTTGTTTGACAAGTTGATATCCGTGTTACCGACAAATGGGAAATCCAACAAGAATAACTGAAATTAAAGGAGAAAAAAAACACACAGAATTGTACTGCTAGTATGACTCAATCTCGATGTCCTTCTGCCCATTTTAAGTTAAATTTTAAGGGACCAATTTGCGGATAAAATATTTTAAAAACAAATAAAAAAGGAATAAAAATGCGGCTACGATAAGAAAATCACTTCTTTTGACTTTCAAGTTTCTAATGAATGTATGTTTGCGAGGCAGGATGTGTAGGAAAACACTAACCTGTTTCTTCATCTAGTTTCTATCCCGATCGACTTGCAATTACGCAATAGGATCGAGAAGCCAAAACATCTGCAAAGGTCACAGGCGTTCCTCGTATTATAGCCTGCAAAGCTGGCGTATTTTGCATTGAATTAGGGCAAGTCAAAAGATTAATCCAAGAACGAGGTTGACGGGTCAATTGCTTTCAAGATGGCGACCGCAGTACCTGTAAGCTTTCGTTTAAAAAAACGCCAAGCTACTCGTATTTTATTCAGAGGGATTCGATTTACCATCAAGAGTAAACAGCTTTGAAAATGTTTTGCGCTCAAGCAATTATATGTTAACAAATGTCCCAATTAAAACTGTGGTCCCAAAAGTAAAAGGGATAAAGCAAATATCCAAAGAAGAAAAAATGAAATCAATAAAATATATATAAAAACAAAAAAAATAATGGGAAAACAATCTCGTTCCGAGATCTCTCGTCAACGAAGCCGACAAGCCGACAAGCGATCTGAGTAAGAGATAAGAGGGAGCTTAAGCAAAGACGTTTTTGAGCTACGCACGTCAACCGGAAGTGAGGCCTTCTCCCTTTTTATCTGCCTTGACGCTAACAAATTTGTATTGCTAAGTGTCTTTTCTCTTATAAAGACAATTTACACGAGAGTTTCAACCAAACCAATGCTCACTGATGTAAAAAGTCCACTTCCCGTTGACGTCCGTCGCTCAAAAACGCTGTTGCTTAAGCTTCCTAAGAAGGAAAAATAAGGACGTCTGCGCGAAGCCTAGCAGGAGAGGGAGTGTGGTATTTCATAGAGGAGAAAGGTTGGAAGCAACAAAATGCAGCGCCGGATCCAGATCTTGTTGAGATAAGGGGGGCCCCCGGTCATCCAGACCCTTAGATAAGGGGGGGGGGGGGGCGGTCATCCAGACCCTTAGATATTCTCTTCGGGCCTCAGTTTGGTCTAAAAATAAGGAGGGGAAGGGGGAAGGGGGGGGGGGGGACGGCTGGATCCGCCACTGAAATATACATGTCGATTTTCAACGACATCGACGTCCTCCATTAAAATTTAAGAAATTGGTCGGCAAAAACTGGAAATCGGACAAAATGGGCCAACAGTACAAGTTTCTTCACGAGAGTACAGCCTTCACTTTATTTCTGGATAGACTACATTACAGCAAAAAACAAAGAACCAGCTATTTAGGCAGAATCCTGCACAAACACAAGGAAGTGTAACAATCTCCAACGAGAAAAAAACTTACAATACAATACAATTCAATACAATATTCGTTATTTAACGAAGGTGACGTAAAAACCCAATAGTTATATAACTTACAGCCTTCACAACAATACAAAATACACATATAAAAACAATGCCCAATCAGTAATATACGACTACAACAAGAGAAATAATCAAGAGCTAAGAATTGAAATGAACCATCCCAATCCCTTGGGAGCTAACTATAATTCAAGGATAATTCAAAATTTCGTTGAGTGAAATACTTGAAAACAAAAAAAGCACAATAAAAGGTTATACTTGAGAGGTTCTCATTGAAAAGTGAAACACTACGATTTGCCTCACAGACTCAAAACCTAGGACAGCTTATTATAAACATCTCACCACAAGTCTATTTAAAAGGACAATAGCTCACTCCGGAAAAGAGTGATAGCCTGGGACCCAAACTAAGCGCGCGCGCATTCATGGGATTTTTTAGGGGACAAGTCGAGCAGCCACCTTCAATTATGACGAGACATGCAAGTTGTTGTGTGCCTTTGTGTACAAATAACTTCAGGAACTCCCCTGAAACATTCCACTTCGCTTTCCGCCATGTTTGTTTACATTCGCGTCCTCGCTTGGCCTAGTTTGGGTCCCAAGCTATCACTCTTTTCCGAAGTGAGTTATTGCATCTAACCAGATAAAGAACACTTCCGAGTGTTTGATATTGCTTCTAAAGCTATTCAAAAGCACAACTTTACATTACATTACATTTTTGTTTTATTGTGGTTGGAACCACATATCTAAATTACCCACACACTTAAATTACCCCCATATTTAAATTACCTTGGACATCACTGACATTCAGTTTTAAAAACCTACTACAGTAAAAACCCACAACTAAGAACCTGCATTTCCCCAAGGTTGGGTTGTCACATAAATGGTAGTTAGCATTTTGGCTATTCAGGTTCTTATTTTCTGAAGAAAAAAATTATTGTAGCCAAGAGTATTTTAGTGGTATTTAGCTTATTGCTAAATAAAAAAATGCAAATTAGTATTGCAGTTGGAGTGATAAGGCACCTATGATTGTGTCTAAAGAGGATCCTCATCTTATTTGCCCAAGTGTACAGATTTTTTTTAGAGATTTTAGAAAATTAATAAGAACCTGTTTCAAATTTTAAGCTAAACAGGTTCTTGTATAGAGGGCGCTTAAACGGCAAATTTTAGCCAACAGTTTTTACAAACCAGGTTCCTTGTCATGGGTTTTAACTGTATCATATACTTAAAGATTTTTTTTAAATTTTTTGTCTTCATTTCATAGCATTATCTATCATACCCTGGGTACCAGAGGTTTTTCTCGCGTGCGGCGGGAATTTTCGGTGTTGGCCGAAGGCCGACACGTCTTCGGCCGTAGGCCGAAGCTACGAGCGGCGAAGCCGCGAGAAAAACCTCTGGCACGGAGCGGTGCTTTTTACCGTCCCCGTTGACCTTTGAGCTTTTTTATCGGATTACATTTACGCCAATCAGACTGAAAGTCTCCGACTGTGATCATGTGGGCCGGTACGTGAAGAAATGTCCAAAGATCCACATTATCCTTAGAAAGACAAGTTCGAGTTTAAAATTCATTGCTTTAAGAGCAATCATGACTGGGTCAAATCGAAGTTCTCCATAATTGATGTACCTTCAGTTTAAGCTGCAACCCATTCTTCGAGATTTGGATCTGAAAATCACTATCCGTGAGAATTTAACATTCTGCTAAAAACGCTAACGAGCTGGGCCCAGCGTAACAAAACATTGCAGGAAACCGTCACTTTCACGGACAAAAGAAAATCGCTTATAATATTCAGAACCAGGAGGCACTTTGGAGAAATTAAACAACCTAAAACCCTCATTTAGCCGCATTGAAGAGCTTAACATTTCAAAAGAGGTCAAAGAAAATGCTCTTGCATCAGAGAGCAAATCATATGCCGACCAGACACAATAACCGCAGAAAATCAATATGCGTGTCACGACCTCTCAGTATGAAACAATCGGCAAAAATCAAATTTGCTCAGTTGAAACGTTTTTCTCCAGAGCATAATCTACCCATCACGGAAAAAAATTCATTGGAACAAGCAGCATTTTGGCATGAGGTAAAAGTCGTGTGTTGCCTTCTGACCCCTCTTTTATACTAAGAATACACGTTTTGTTTTTATATTCCTAATCCATCAATACAAACTATTTCAAAACATGTTGTAATCGTCTGAAATAGGAAATTAGTAAAGCTTAAACCTGCTGCAAAAGCTGAATTGGTGATGATAGCTTAATTGCGTTGAATAAAATTAAATACTCCACTTGTTTGCTCATAGCTTTTGACTTGTCTACACCGTCAAACCCTTCTAGTACATTGCTTGTCATGCTCTTTCAAAACTTTCCAAAGCTGCCATCACAACACTTCTCGCGAGTACAACAACAGCAAAGTTGGAAATATTCTTTCACGTGCTGGTCTATTCTTGTCAACCAATTGTAGCGTCTGTTAGATTCAAAGTCCCTCAGGTGGTCGTTAGTAGCCAATCAGCAGTCTTGTCCAAAATCTGGACCAACTGATTTAACCGTGCTAACGATTGGATCGGCGCCATCAAAGCAATAGCGCTCTGCTCCAGAGGCTTTTCGCGCGGGTCACTATAAAGACTTGACAGAAACCGGAAACCGCGCTAGAAAAGTCTCTGGCACCCAGGGTATATCTATTATTGAATACCCCAAAATACACTCTGCTTGAATCTTTAAAAATGGGAATCTCTAAAAACGGGTTTTCTAAAATGAGAAATCTCTAACAAGGCAAATCTAAAAAACCGGCGACAAAACTAACTGAATCCTTCCCTGATGCAGGCTTTTTTCCCCCTGCAAGAAACTTGAACAGCAGCACAACATTTTTAGAGAGAGGGGGTGGGGGAAGAAGGAAGGGTGATGGAGGGAAGACTTGCTTTTTCCTTTTAAAATTTTAGTGCCCGTTAATTACACGTATCTCCAAAATGTTCCAGCATAAAATCGCTAAAAAGTCGCTAAAACGAATAAGTACAGAGAAATAATACCGACCGAAAAATCCATCTCTCAACAACACTAGATTTCTCTTCATTTTCAGTGTGATACAGCCTGATTCCTTTACTCTTCAGAAACTCTTTGAAATGTTTACTGATAAACTCAGAACCTTTATCAGTCCATAGCATTTGCGGTTTGCGTTTACTTTTAAATATTTCATCAAATGCTTTACTAACAGTTTCAGATTTCTTGTCTTTTAGTCCCCCAATCCATCCATACTTGCTAAATACGTCTATAACCATCAGAAGATATTTAATCCCTTTATTCCACTTACTAAACGTTTGCATTTCAACCAAATCAGCAGCCCAGATTTCATCAATCCCGTTTGAGATTACTGATCTTTTTGAAAAGTTTCTTGTGATTGGTTTGTGAAGTTCGTCGGCTAATTGTTGAGACCAATCACTACTTTGTGCAAACTTGCGCCTCAACGCCGACGAGCGTTTTTTTGAAGACCCATTCCAAGTTTTTGTTTTGTATTAATCATTGTTCTAGCCATAGCGTGACCCCATTGTCTTTTTTTCCAAGGAATTACATCTAACGCTTTTATCATGTTTCTGTCAGCTTCATTTTTACATTCTACTTGTTCCTCTTTTGGTTTGTTTGCACAGACACTATAGTAAACATCATATTGGACACTAACAGCATCTGTTCGGCCAGTTGGTTGTTCATAAATTTCCAATATCTCTCCCGTTTGAGGTTTGTATTTTAATTGAGAATCCAGTGGGTTACCAGGTCTAGTATACTTATGCCCAGGCAGTACGAAACCTTTTTTGGGTGCTACTTTTAGAATGGCTTTACGTATATTTATTCCTTTTCCAGTCTTTCCACGTACCCGTCCATAAATAACTGGAGCCGCGGTTCCACTTCCTAAACTTTGTAATGGATTGTTTTCCCAAAAGTGATCATCGGGGATAATTTCATATTTAAAACCTATTAACATTGGCCATGTATCTGGATTGTTTTTAATAATCTCTGCCATTTCTGTTAAAGCTTCTGGGTTTTCATTAAAAAAGGTTGATTTGTACCTTCTAAAATGCTTTCCATCTTTGTTAAAAGCAAAGAATAACTCAGGATTACCACTTTTTCGTATTATTCCCATTGCTTTCTCTTCCGCCGCTGTTGGCCGTCTCCAGAATTTCTCTGATGTAATTCTATGTTCACTTCCAAAAGCGGATTTGAAAATATCCCCAGATTTATATCTATCGTAAACTGGTTTTAGAGATGGAATAAGTTCTTGCGTTGTTTTCATTGCGATATCTGGCGCTTTTTTTACAACAGTCCTCGGGGAAATACCCGATGCGGTCATTGGAGTAATACCCTTACCACTTCTTCCATCTAAATCCTTTCTATCAGTTCTGTATTTCTTTTTTGGCCTAACTTTAGTTGATAGTTGTTCCATAGCAGATCCAACAGAATCTTGAATAAATGGAGTTAGTTTACTAATCCCGTAATTTACAGCTTTACGCTCTAGTTTTTTATTTCTGAGTGCTTCACTTGCTCCATAACGACCCATCTCAACTGTTTTTCGACCCAACCAAGGCAATCCATGTTCAACAAAAGCTTCTGCGGCTGTGCCAACTACAGTATCAAAGACATCACCTCCAGTTTAATAGCGAACCTTTAGTTTGTTTGCCCGCCCCTTCAGACGGGCTATTTAGTTTTTTTGTCCCTCGTCCATTCTTTCGTTTTTTTGTTTTTCTTTTAGTCCCACTTCCAGTTTGAGGAACTGATCCCATTTTTACATAACGGACTTTTTTAGTTCCACAGACTGCGCATCTACAAAAGAATTGAGTTCTTCCTCTTTTATCTTTTTGGTAACCGCTTGGCTCTGTGCAAGGAGTTACTCTTTTATCTACAATACAATATGTTTCTTTCATCTAGTATAATGTTTAGATAAAATGACAACGAGAGCTAATTTTCTAAAACGTGAACTTGATGGTAGTGTCTTTGTAAAGCTAGATGGATCAAGATTGATGACTGGAAATCTTAACATGGACAACAATCGGAAATTCAATCTGCCACTTCCAACTCGATCAAAACAACCAACAACAGTGGCTTTCACCGATCTTAAATATCTCCACATTGATGGAACATCCGCAATGGGAGGAAATTTAAACATCAACAATGAAAGTCTAATTCATTTAAGACCACTAACATCAGACACAGATGAAGCAAACGAAAAGTATGTGGATGATAGTATACCTAATACTAGTTCTTTTCTCAAAAAAGACGGCAGTGTTACAATGACTGGAGATCTTAATATTGGCGACCACAAAATAACAAATCTTAAAACACCCACTTCAAATAGCGACGCGGCAACTAAGTCCTACATTGATAGCCTCATTCACCACACTTCGATTCAACCAAGCCATTTTAAAGATCAGATTGCTTTTCTCATGTCAAACTCAAATCAATGGACAGATGAAATAGATGGTGGAAATAGTTTTAATATAACAAAGATAGATGACTTATCACCTTCTAATGGTAACTTTCATGATTACAATCATTAAGTTTTTAATACGACTATAACTAAGAATTCTCAAGGCGGTTATAAGTATAAAATGGGAATTAATTTTTACAGACTAACTGTAAATGCTGACTATACCCTTTGTTTAGAAATATGAGATGATAAATTAACTCCTCTTATTTCAGAAGGAAGTTGTGGATCTGCAAGTATAAGTGAAGATGAAGATGCAGGTGTTGGAGACGTAAAACCAGGAAAAGGTTCTTCGATAACTTCTCGAGGTTGAGCATAGTAAGAAGCAGCTAGGGGTTTAGTGTATGTAGGCTTGCAACTGTTCTGACCACTGCGGTTGTTGCGGTGAGGCTGAATATTGTGCTGCTTGATCTGAAAGCACTACTTGATTCGAGGGGATTTCTGATGAAAAGAATGGTAAGGATGATGACATTCGTGATGCAAGAGAAGACGTAGGTTCTTCCACGGGTCTGGGCGCGAAAGTGGGTGCGAATAAGGGTAGTGAAGATGAAAATGCAGGTGTTGGAGACGTACAACCAGGAAAAGGTTCTTCGATAACTTCTCGAGGTTGAGCATAGTAAGAAGCAGCTAGGGGTTTATCGTATGGTGGTATTTGCAACTGTTGTGACCACTGCGGTTGTTGCGGTGAGGCTGAATATTGTGCTGCTTGATCTGAAAGCACTACTTGATTCGAGGGGATTTCTGATGAAAAGAATGGTAAGGATGATGACATTCGTGATGCAAGAGAAGACGTAGGTTCTTCCACGGGTCTGGGCGCGAAAGTGGGTGCGAATAAGGGTAGTGAAGATGAAAATGCAGGTGTTGGAGACGTACAACCAGGAAAAGGTTCTTCGATAACTTCTCGAGGTTGAGCATAGTAAGAAGCAGCTAGGGGTTTATCGTATGGTGGTATTTGCAACTGTTGTGACCACTGCGGTTGTTGCGATGAGGCTGAATATTGTGCTGCTTGATCTGAAAGCACTACTTGATTCGAGGGGATTTCTGATGAAAAGAATGGTAAGGATGATGACATTCGTGATGCAAGAGAAGACGTAGGTTCTTCCACGGGTCTGGGCGCGAAAGTGGGTGCGAATAAGGGTAGTGAAGATGAAAATGCAGGTGTTGGAGACGTAAAACCAGGAAAAGGTTCTTCGATAACTTCTCGAGGTTGAGCATAGTAAGAAGCAGCTAGGGGTTTATCGTATGGTGGTATTTGCAACTGTTGTGACCACTGCGGTTGTTGCGGTGAGGCTGAATATTGTGCTGCTTGATCTGAAAGCACTACTTGATTCGAGGGGATTTCTGATGAAAAGAATGGTAAGGATGATGACATTCGTGATGCAAGAGAAGACGTAGGTTCTTCCACGGGTCTGGGCGCGAAAGTGGGTGCGAATAAGGGTAGTGAAGATGAAAATGCAGGTGTTGGAGACGTAAAACCAGGAAAAGGTTCTTCGATAACTTCTCGAGGTTGAGCATAGTAAGAAGCAGCTAGGGGTTTATCGTATGGTGGTATTTGCAACTGTTGTGACCACTGCGGTTGTTGCGGTGAGCCTGAATATTGTGCTGCTTGATCTGAAGGCACTACTTCATACGAGGGGATTTCTGATGAAAGGAATGGTAAGGATGATGACAGACTCATAGGATAAGGAGAATCAGATAAAAAATCCAAAGGATGGCCGGATGGCCAAATATTTGTTGGATTTGACGTTACTAAACCTTCTGTAGGAACACCAGGTAGGGAACTAGGAAACACATCTGATGCCGAAATAGATTGAGATTCTGGGAATACGTCAGAAGATGAAACACTAGGGGTAAATGAACTCCTAATAAGATTACTTGCACTTCTCAAAGGATCTACTAATAATGAGGATACACCAGTTGCTGCAGCGTCTACAAGAGTAGATACACCAGATGAAGTTAGGTTTCCTAACGCCAATGCTGACGCAGATGCTAGATCTCCCAAAGCTGAAGCTAAATCTCCTACAACAGACGAAGCCATTCCTTGTCGTGCTAAACCCGCAGTTCCCACTAATCCCTCTCTTGTTAAATCGGCAGCACTAGCTACTCCTTGTCGTGTTAGATCAGCAGCACCAACTAATCCTCTACGTGTTGCATCTGCAACAATTGCAACTCCTCTAGCGGCTCCCAGAACACCTTGGTAAAACAGACCTGGTAAACGCATATGGGGGCGGGGATAATCTTCTTCATCATCACTAATTTCTTCACTTGTTTCAGTCTCCTCCATATATTCTCTTGCTCCTCTTGCTCCTCGAAGGCGTTGGCGACGATGTCGAAGAGGTATTTCTTCGTATCCAGGTCCCTCTTCCATTTTTTCATTTAGTTCTCGTAACTCATCTAAAAACAAATTTTAAGTTTTAGTAGATTTATCTTGAGACTCCAAACGTACTTCAAATGCCTCTCTTAAGGCTTCACGAGCTAGCTGTTTTTCTAATTCTTTACGCTTTATGCTTCGCCTAACAATCCGCGTAAGAAAATCTGCCTTAATTTTATCTTGTGAAAGTTTTTTGGCATGATCAATATCCATTTAGTTAATGCATATTTTATTTCATACCCAGATAGATTTTCATTGTTTTCATCATTTTATTTAGTTCTTTTGTGGGTAAGACTTTGATTGAGTTTAGATAGTTTGCTATCTGAGTAAACTCCGGCAAAACACCATTGTTTCCGGCCATAATAGACCCACCAAGCAGTTTAAGCCTATCAATGAGTTGGTTAGGATTTTTTAAACCTTGTCCTAATTTATATTAACTAAAATTCAAGAATTCCTTTATATTCCTTTTGTGTTTTATGATGCATTTGGTATAAATCAAGTTCCATTTTTTCCTCCTCAGATTTCTTTTTGGTTCTTTTCAAAGCTCCAACTTTATTACCCATTTTTTTGCATCATTAGTTACTTTGTTATAAATTTCTTTTAATTCATCAGGATCGGCATCTAAAAGTTTATTTGGCAGCGGATAACCAAGTCTTTTTAAAATCTTTTTATCATCATCATTAAAAGTTTTTTCAAGGTTATATTGTAAGATTTTTCTTTGTGTAACTGGATTTAAATCTGGCTCTATTTCATCTTTTTTTTCTCCTTCCAACTGATTAAAACCTTGAGTAATAGCTCGCTGATTGGCTCTAAGACCTTCTGTAAGAGCCAACTGATTTTTAAGCATTTCTTGGTTTTGAGTAAAAATCGTTTTAGTTTTATCATCCTCAGGTTTTTTAAACTGGGAAATCAGGGGTTTAAAAGACTCACGAAAACCTTCTCTCTGATCTCTCGGATTCAATCTTATTTTTAGCCCGAGTTTTAACTTCGTTAATATCCATTTTATTTAATGCACATATTAGACAAAAATGGAAATACCTAACTATGATAGCAGTGATAATTCAAATAACAAATTCAAACAGCTACACCCTAACTTGCCATCAGATTCATTCCGGATGTTGATCTGTGGAAACAGTGGAAGTGGTAAAACTAATCTTCTTTTCCATATGCTAATTAAACCACTATTGTACTATGATGAGATTTATCTCTATGCTCGTAATCTAGAGCAGCAAAAGTACCAGCGATTAATCCAGAAAATGAGAGAGTTGTCCCATAAACTAGGATATGAAATACTTCATGTGAGTAATGATGAAATAACCCCAGTGTCAGAAATGGATTACGAAGACAACCAAAAACTTGTGATATTTGATGATTACGTCTGCGATAAAAACCAGAGACAAATCATTGATTATTTTATTCAAGGAAGGCATAAGTATTGCTCTGTAATCTACCTTAGTTAGCCGTTTTACAAAACTCCAAAGGATATTCGACTGCATTATCCTCACTACTGTTTATACGAATTTCCATCATCGCGAGAATCCGACAGAATATCATCTGAGTTGGGAGTTGATAAAGAAAGGTACAGATCAGCAACTAGAAAACCGTACACATTTCTGTATGTTGATAAGCCAAAGAAAGTCATTGCAAAAAACGTCACTGATAATATATGCAATAATTAAAATGGGAATATTTAACGAACTTTCTTATAGTCATCCTTTTGCTCGCGGAATTCAAGGCGCTCCAGGAGTTGGATTTAGTCTCACCTCAGACGGAAATTATGATATGGTGGGTAAAAAACTAAGAAATGTTGGTGCTCCGGCATCCAACACCGACGCGGCAACAAAGAAATATATTGATGAGAATTCTGGCGGTGGAAAAACATGATTATTAACAGTTGATTCGAACATTGATATGAAAGATTCATACCGTATTCTAAACCTTAAATCACGATCTGATGCAGATGAACCAGCCACAAAACATTACGCAGATGCGCGTTTCTTTTTCAGAGATGGAAGTCATGCAATGACTGGAAATGTTAACATGAACAATAATCGCATTGTTGGTCTGCCATCACCAACACAAGATCACCAACCAGTAACACGGGGGTACGGGCATTCAAACTACCTCAGTATCGATGGAAAAACAGCAATGACTGGGGATTTTAATATGGGAAATAAAAAAATAACCGGCCTCGCAACACCAACAGCTAATAGTAACGCTGCAACTAAGAAATAGGTAGATGATAACAAAGTCGATGGTAGTGTCTTTGTAAAGCTAGATGGATCAAGATTGATGACTGGAAATCTTAACATGGACAACAATCGGAAATTCAATCTGCCACTTCCAACTCGATCAAAACAACCAACAACAGTGGCTTTCACCGATCTTAAATATCTCCACATTGATGGAACATCCGCAATGGGAGGAAATTTAAACATCAACAATGAAAGTCTAATTCATTTAAGACCACTAACATCAGACACAGATGAAGCAAACGAAAAGTATGTGGATGATAGTATACCTAATACTAGTTCTTTTCTCAAAAAAGACGGCAGTGTTACAATGACTGGAGATCTAAATATTGGCGACCACAAAATAGCAAATCTTAAAACACCCACTTCAAATAGCGACGCGGCAACTAAGTCCTACATTGATAGCCTCATTCACCACACTTCGATTCAACCAAGCCATTTTAAAGATCAGATTGCTTTTCTCATGTCAAACTCAAATCAATGGACAGATGAAATAGATGGTGGAAATAGTTTTAATATAACAAAGATAGATGACTTATCACCTTCTAATGGTAACTTTCATGATTACAATCATTAAGTTCTTAATACCACTATAACTAAGAATTCTCAAGGCGGTTATAAGTATAAAATGGGAATTAATTTTTACAGACTAACTGTAAATGCTGACTATACCCTTTGTTTAGAAGTACTCAACACTGATTATAAGCTATGGCATAAATCACAAATATCTGTTGATACAGGCTCTTCACAAGGATTAACTATCGGAAATGTTAGTGTGCGAAAATATAGCCTCAGGTATCTTGATCCAAAAAATCAACCACAGTTTATATACTATCACAAAATAATAGTTAATTTTCGCAAGACAACGTCGAGCCCCTATTTTCTTCATATACTAGTTAACAACCCCCAGGAAGGAACTGATTTAGCAGTTTATCCACGAAACTTTAAAGGAGTTTACATAATTGCTTATGGCATCGTGGGAAAAGCCAGCAATATCGACCCAGATAAAGTTTACGACTATCACACCGCATTTGATATCAAACCAATAGAAGTTTCTTACAATGTTAACATCAACGCAAATAATAAAAAGATATTATACATTGATGTTGATAGAAATAATGATAATAGCGCGGCAACAGTTAGGCTGTTCAAAGAACTAGTTCGTTTTACCACAAAGGCTTTTTACAGAAAAAACTTTAGTGAGTTCTATGACTTTTCTGATGCTAGTTTGTATCAAATAACAAGAGGTTCATCAGGAGTTGCTTATACAGGTTTAAAACCAAACATTACATTTACCACACAAAAATATAGCTGAAATACAAGCGGATGGATTAGTAGTTAATGGATATGGTTTAACAGTAACTGTCCCACACAGTAAAAACTTCACACTTTGTGTTGTAATGCAATTCTGGAGAAATAGAAGTTTAACCTGAGATCAGGCTCTATCTTCGTTTCGCTTTGAAAATTACATTCCGGCGGGCAAGACGAAACGAAAAGAGAGCCTGATACAAACCTTTAACGAAATGTCTGCCGCCCACTTTTTTGATTGATTGACATTTGCCGAATCAGCCAATCAGAATTACTTCCGTTGCTTGTTTTTCTAGTATGCAAATTTTTCACGCGTGGGAAAAATGCAGACTGGCTGACTTAAAAAATAGCTTTTATCTGTTAATTTTTTTCAGCTAAAAATAAAACAGTCAGCACAATCACATTTAACTTCTTGCGAGATTAAGGGAGATCTAGAAGGTTACTTCTGTTGGCGTAGAAAGTAAAAAGTTTTCGAAAAGACGGCGACACGATGTTCTACTAGTTTTATTATTTTGGCTAGGCGCTCTGGAATTTAAAATACTGAAATCTCTATTTTTCCGTTGTCTTGATATTTTCCTCGGCAACTTCTCCTGATTTTCAGTACATAAATCTTTGAAAACAAAAGCAAACACCCAACGAGCGAGGACACCAGTTTTCTTGGTTTACTTTTAACAAAAAGCGTAGTCAAACAACCAGTCTGTGAACACTGAAAATTCCTTGAACAGCGATGCGATATTTTTCGTCTAATACTTCACAGTTGGCGATTGAGGTTTCTTTCGCAGTGAGCCTCCGCTTGCGTACCCTGTTCAGAGAAGTCATTCCCGGCTAAACTTTCAAATAAACCAGTTTTAAGATGGACAGTATTTTGAATTGCACCCGTTTGTTGGTAAACCTTGTTAGCGGTCAACAACTTGCAGAGGGATTCAACTCCGCGATACACTCACTTTCCGTAAATAAAGCAAATCCTGAGAAGATATGAACAACCACGTGAATTTTCTGAATTTCCATGGCACATATTAAGGCATATTTTCCTACCATAAGACCATAAAACAATAAAAAAGACAGCAAAATCGATCCTTCTCTCCACCGACGACGGATCATTCACGAAAACAACCACGCGAGGAATAAGCGCTTTCAACTTCCGGCGTTTCCGACAGCCAATCAGATCTTGTGGCATTGTTCTAACAGCCAATCAGCGTTACGGCCAAAATCTGGCCGTAACGAGCACAAACTTGTAATAGTTTGTATCAGGCCCAATTTCAGCGGTAGCCGTTAGAGAGAATGTATGAGAACCGCTCAAATTGGGCCTGATCTCAGGTTATAGAAGTTTTACTTTGTTTGCAAATGTTGCAAATACCAATCTTAAAACAGAATTAAAATATGATTTTAGAACAACAAGATAAACCCTCATAACCAATCTGGGATCACAAGTTACTGTCATGCCTAATAGTATGAATGGAAAGCGAATTGTTATCTGGTTAACAGAAAACAGTAATGCAAATATTACAAAAGCAGCGGGGTCTAACAACAGCTCAACTCTAACAGAATCTTCTTCTCCACTTAGTAACCAAAATCAAAGAGTAAACTTTGGTTTTTTATCAGATGATGGAGTAATACATAGGTTAATGTATTCTACAAACTTTTACGATTTCGACTCAGAAGTATACGACAGAGTTCTCGTACAAGAAAAACTATCTGGTAGTTATGTAGAATAGGAGGAACCTACGGTACCCCCCTATGACCCCCTCCCTTGAAAAGTTTACTAGGACGGAGATTTGTAACTATACCATCACCTTTTATAATTCGCCAGAGTTTGTTCAGAAATCTTAAGATAAACTAACTTGTACTTTTTATTTCCCATTTCTTTTAAAAGTTTTTTGATTAGATAAACAACTCTTATCATTGTCTTTCTACAGAATCGTTCGTTTAGTATTTCCATGACGTGTTGGTCTATTGCCATTAGTTTCTTGAATAAATAATACTTTTGCTCCTCAGTCAGGTGTAGTCTTTTAGAAACTTGAGCAATCTTTTTCTCATAATGATACATTCTCTGATAGATACTCTTCTTTCGAAAATGAAATCGACCATACTCTTTCTGATCATAAAACTCTAAAGCATGACCACTACTCGCTCCACACTTCTCGCAAATGTTATAACCTGAATTAACAAAGAAACGATCACTATAACAATACCAGCATCTAACCCACTCTATCTCTATCCCCTACTGCTTGGTTGGTAGAGTAATTATTTAATATTTCTAGATATCGCTCTATTTGCTCTTCCGTGTAGCACGTTTTGTGATTAACTTATATAACTCTTCCCTTTTACCACCAAAAACACAAATATTTACTATCGTAACATTAATTTGTATTTCTTTTGTTTTATTCTTACGACGGCATTTACTCGAATTCTCCTTTGGAGTTAATAACTGTAAATTATCAATACGATTATTTTTCTTATTATTATCTATGTGGTCAACAACTTTATTTTTTCGTATATTCCCACGAATGCATTCAAAAACATACCTACGAACTCGATAATTTTTTACATATGAATTGAAATAGACATTACAATTTAAATATCCATTTTTATGTTCATATAGTTTTATTAATTTGTTTCTCTTTTTGCCATAGATTTCCCCTTTTTTACTTGCGTAATAATTATCATAAATAGGATGAGAATAAAATTTATTTCCTTCCTATAAAAAATATAATCGATCTTTATTTAAACTAATTTTACCTTAAAGCTGGTGTATGAATACAATCTTCCATCACACTACGTTTATCGTCATCATTACTTAGAGCAATTTTATTTACATTCTTAGAGTAAATATCATGGTTTTCACTTCTAATAATATTCATCGCTCTCATTTGTTTCGCTCCAGAAAATAAACACTAGACATAGTCTTCAAATGTGATTTCCCGTTTAACAACATTTTTTTTAATCCCCTTACACTTGCGAACTTCGTTCGCCTTTTTGGTTAATCCCGCGCCCCCGGTCGACTCCACTTTAAAACTATAAAGCTTTGGACGAAGACCAACAAAATGAGAAATCAGGCGGCCAGCTACTTCATCTTTAAACTTTCTTGTTAACTCCTGTCTTGATGCCAGATGGATGTTTCTCAGGGTAATCAGAAGTATCAAACTTTTTCTTAATGTCATGAGATATATCCTTATAAAAACCATCCGTATGGATTAAGTACAACAAACTGTCAGTATCTGTAAACAACAACTCAGCCTTGTCATCGTATTTTTTTTCTAATATAATTATAATGAAAATCAAACATTAGTGTTTTCGACAAATCCAGTATTGCTTGCCCAACATAAATTGGTTTGTTAAAATACACTTCAGTTTTCTTCATATGAACAGCAATAAGATTACTATCAAATATTGTTGCTCGATCAAAGTTTGGTTTTGTTGATAAACTTGAGGCTTTGGCGCGGCTATCTACCAATATTATATTTTGTCTCTTTTTAATGTTTTCTATTGTTTTGCCAAACACTGAATTATTCATAAACTCGAAAAAAGTCTTTCTCAAAACTGTTTGCTGCAGTCTGGTAAAATGATATTCCTCTGAGAACAGCAGTTAGTCTCATTCCCATCTCAAGATATTGTCTAAGATTGTGATTATGTACTACATAGCGTTTTTTAGGTCTAAAAGATCCAATCAGTTTTTCTACTCTATTCACAACCATCTTCTCCGGAGCAAGAGGATAATCATTATGTGAATTCCACAGTTTACGAGGATATTCCAAGTCAACCTCAAATATGTATCCCTTGTTTGTCTTTCGTTTTTCTAACCGATTAATTACAGAATCTACAGTTAAATCTTTTAGCCATTTAAACCCATGTGTAGGAAGTGGTTGTGACATTGCCCAGCCATAAAGATTGTTAGCATCTAGGTATTGAATGTAAGTACAAGGTTTGCTAGGATCATAATCTCTCATATATTTATCATTCGCCTCTGCATATCTCTTTGATATGTGAGTTATTCCTCCGCGAATACCACGCTCAAACATCATCAACATATCATAATCATGCAACAGTTGTAATTCTGGACCTGTTTCTTTCAGGCATGCATCCCAAGCCAAACCTGGAGATGTATAGTAATGCGCGGGATCTAGATTGAAATGGTGAAGACAAGTTTTTCGGAAGCTCTTAAATACATCTGCCAGCAAAAGAACATCAGACTTTAGATAAAGATCGTGATAATCACAAATAGACTTACAATTAAAAGTACTCCAGATATTAAGTGCGTGTTGGTAATCAGAATCTGAAATATTTTCGTCATTTAGTTTTGAATAAAATTCTGATTTAGGTGGAAGCTGCGTCTCAGAAAGTTTCTCAATTGACGAAACATAGTCATATGGATAAACACCCTTACGAGTTAACAATTCTATATTTTCTTGAAATATAGCCTTTGTGTTGTGAAAATCATTGGTTAGTTGTAGATTTCCAACAAGATTTGTAAGAGATGTTTGAAGAAACTTGTAAGAATCAATAAATCGTAACTCAAAATACACCGAAACTGTTTCTCCAGTACGTCGAGATATAAACTCGTCCACTTTAATCTTTTTAGAAAACGAAATACATTTTTCTTCTGTCGATGGAATACAGTTTAATTCACCTGGCAAACGAAAAAGTTGTTTAATAAACAAATGTGCATCATACCCTTGAAGATTGTGAAATATAACTGGAAGAATTATTGGCTTTCGGCATCTCAAGTTGCAACAGTTATGAACAGCTCCACGATACTTTTCAGTAAAATGACAGTGATCGGGAACTTTATCACCGTTAATGCTTTGTTGCAAATATAACAAAACTCGGCTTTATTAAATTCTTCTTGTTCTTGTTTTGTTAATTTAAGAGGTAATGGTCGACAATAAAAATCATTGTATATCTTATTTGTTATTCCCGCAAGTTTAGAAACAAAAATTGCAGAGATGTCATCACTTTTGGTGGTTTTTGTGTAAAGAATTGGTTTAAATGTTATGTTAGGGTCCAATCCTTTGATATATAAACAAAATCCTGATGGCTCATGTTTCTGGTAACTGTAAGTATATGAATCCTCTGGATTGGGACAGCAAGTGCTCATCGGTTTGGTAAAACATTCAAAATCGGCATAAACTACAAAAGGAACTGGAAGTTGTTTGTGGTAATTATCAAAACATAACTTTGTGTTTCTAGAAGGCATACGCACAGCAACTGTTTCATTGGATGAACAATATTCGATATGTTTTTGAAATAATTCCTCTTTTGAGAAGTGAATAAAACATTTCTTGCAAATACAAGTTATACCACTTGATCGTGATGTTCTCTGTGATCTACACGATCGTGAAAAGTTTTTAATAAGTGAATAATGGGTTTTCCCATCTTGTTCCGTGAAGAAACAAATCAGTTGTATTTTGGGTGTCTCGTTTTGCCATTCTCAAAGGGTAAAGCTTATTATTCTCATTAACTGAAAATACATTTATTCCTGGAAGTGATGGATTTAAAGTTTCAAATTTGGTTATGACTCTTAGTTTGACTGGATAATCAATTCCTTTGGTACTAAGATCATTTTCATATTGTTTCAAATCTGTTAATCGGGTATCATTGTTCTCTCTTAGATGAAGATATCTAAGTAGGCACCAAAGAAAACATTTTTCATCAGTGTTTCGGATGTTTACAATCGCTTTCTTTAGCATAATCCATCCTGGTAATGGTATATAAGAAGACCCCCTCATTGGGTTGTAGTCAACAGTGTGAATTTCAAGATGAACTACCTCTTTAAAATACCACCCACTTCCATTTTGCTGATACTCTTGCTAATCATTTTAGCAAGTATTTCTTTTACATCGGTTGATTCAAGATTAATATGAGTATCTGAATGAAAATATGCTTTACCCTGAACCGTAATACTTATTTTATCATTACCTCCCTTTTTTCCCATTAGACAAACTAAAACAAATCTAACTTTGATATTCCGATGATTTCTTAAGAAGTCTTTTAAATAAGGGCATCTAGATCTAAAAAATTCATATGGAGTAATACCAGCTTCTCTTCAAAAATTCAGCAAACGGGATTTTCCCTAAAGTTATTCTGGCTTCACTTTTACTTTAGAGTAGTAATAAGGGGATGATTTCCGGATAAAGTTTAACTCTCATTTTTCCCTGGTTAATTTCCCTTTCGAGATAAAGCGAGTGAGATTTTTGACGTCTTTTTTGAACTGAGCGACAGGAAGTGAATGAAGCGAGCGAGCGAAAGTGAGCGAGTGGAATAAACTGACTGGAGCGAAGTAAAAAATATGACGGAAATAATCGGAACGAGTTTTTCGAGAAAGAGGGAAATTAACCAGGGAAAGATGACAGAGTTAGAGTTGAGTCGGAAAGCATCCCCTTATTACTACTATAGTCCTTCCCACAACAGGTCGAAAAAAATTAAGAATTCGTCACGGAGAACTGTAATTTTACCACTCTCCTTGATCTCTCGGCGGTACAGAAGTTTCCGTAGTGGAACGTTCGACTGTACATGAACCGACAGCCGTAGAATCCTCTGCTTTGAACAGGCCTTTTGTTTTAATTCATGATGCTATTTGTTTCAATTTGTTTTGATTCTTTCCTTAAGGCGAACTTCCCCTTAATCATTACAAACGCAGATTTAAATGAACAACAACTCACCACTGGATATTTTTCTTGTTATAGTTCCTTTGCACTTTAGACATTTTTTCATCCGCGCAGCGCAATCTAGGAGTTAAAGGTTCAGTACAAACATCGGTTTAACACGTTGAATAAAGTACAGTGGTCGCTTTAAAAAGTAAAACGCTCTCCAACAACTAGAACTTAATACAGGCACCAAGGAAATGACGCTGCAAAACTACCCACCTACCCCTCCCTTAACTCAACATTTTGCCCTAAGTGAGAGGTTTGTGTTAGGAGAGGGGTAAGTAGAATATTCCCTAGAATCCTATTTTGATGGGCTGTTACCATGGAAATTATATTCGTTGTGGTTTAAAAAAAACCCTTGGTTTCACCTTCTATATTCCCTTGTTTGCGACTCACTGTCATACGTTATCATCACACAAAACAAAGGAAAGTAACTATTAAATTAAAGACAAAAATAGAACCACAACATAATCTTAAAAACATCGTCCTAAATGGAAGACATTCTCGGGGTCGAGCCCAGGACATGCTCTCTCTCTCTCTTTCAACCTTTGCAGTGATCAACAACTATCTTCTTCATAAACATTGCCGCTTGATCAGAAATGGCTGGCAGAATGTCTTCCCATGTCACTTAATCGTCAGAAACTACGTCAGTTCTCGAGAAGCTGATCAAGCGGACGGTGACACTGTTTAATCATTTTAACATCACGAGAATCATTTGACAATTCAGAGACAAGAAAACTGGGACGAGCTAGCTTTCGCAAAGACTTCTGGAGCCGTTACTAGTGATACGGAAAACATTGACCAATAGCTGACCAGGGCGTTCCCATTGACGATCCAACAAAAGGCGGGA